AGCTTGCCACAGAGATGTTTCCCCAGCCTTTATGTGGATGCCATTGGGTTTGCAGCTTCCTGGCCTGTTGCAGGCAGCTCTAGGAAGGCCCGAAAGAAAGAATTCAATCCTTCTCATCAGCTGTGAAAGCCAAACCAAACCCCACTCGCAGCAAGACTTTCCAAGAGGAAAATTGATTGGACATCAACAGGCAAGAGATGCAGCTTCGTTAAGGATAGGTGAATGGCTCTAGCTCCTACATCCAAGTGCCCATCAGGTTTAGCCCGTAGGTCACTTGGGTCTCCATGGGCAGCTGAGAAAACACGTTCTCCATCACATCAGCTCATCCAGCTAAAGTAAACCATGAGGTCATGCCACCAGCATAATGAGCACCTCTGCTTGGGTCCTCTGCACCCCCCAGCCCCAGCTTGCATACAGGTGTGTTGTTATTAAGCAGCTGGTATAACAACCCCATGCCAGTGCCAAGTATGAAACAGCTCTGGCCCTGTCCAAAACTAACACAGCCGGGGCTGGGAATGGGGTCCAGGGGGTGCAGTTCTGCCTCCTGGAGAGGAAAACAAATCATCCAGGTTCAAAAGCAGGAATTGGGGCAGCAGGCTTGGAGGAATCCCTGTGCCTCCCCCCAGGAGAAAAGGAGTTAATAGGTAGCCAAGGCAAAGGTTTAAAAATAGAGCTCTTTGCATAGCTGTTTGGTGAGGTCTCTGTCAGGTTGGCTGTGTTTGCTGCTCCGCTCTGGTCCCAGCAGGTTTGTCCTGGTGGGTGTTTGCAGGGATGGGGAATGGGGAAAATGGCCTTTGGAAAAAGTGATTTTGGAGCGCAGGTGATGGGCTGAGGTCTGGTCCTTGGTCCCCTTGGCACGGTCCCGCTGGAATGGACCAGGTGGATTTGAAACTGGAAGGCAGTTCATTGAGCCCGAGGTATGTTTCAAGGGGGGGGTGTTCCAAGAGGTCCTCCCTTCCCTTCTTGCATGAGGTTATTCCTCTTATTCTGTGGTCTTGAGACTTGCCTCACCCAGTGGAAATGCAGCTGATGCTCTTATCAGTGGGGATGTGCTGATTGATAGGAGATGTGACCACAGAGTGTCACTGCTGGGAGCTGAGGTCCCCAGAAGACCCCATTGCTCTCCAATAGGGGTTGGCACTGAAATGAGCTGCTCCTGCAAGTCCATTACTGAGCTGACAGCAATTCCTGTGTGTTGAGCACAGGGTATGATTGCCACTGAATGGGAAAGGTGATGCTGAACCTGGATTTGTGGACATGGGCTAAAGGATTGCTGTGATTTCCCCCCCCCATCCCCTTTTTCCCATTTACTTCACACACATCTCTGAGAGCCTGTTTAAAGATGCCCTGGGGAGATGGGGGATTAGATAGGAAACCAGATTAGCCCCTTAGGAGTTCAACAATGTGCTTTTGGTTTAATATAGAAGATATCATTTAATATGCATGTAGAAAAATGCACTGTTGCATAGCTGAGATGGCATTTTCCCATCCTGCTTCCCCTGCCATGGCTTTTTCCCCACTGGAGTGATCAATAAATACAGAGCAGGTGCTCACGGAATGTGGTCTGATCCGAAGGGAAGAGCTGGTGTCCGGTTTTATACCAGGACTTCTCGATTCCCTGCCTTCACTGCAGCTCGGTCCTGCTCCCATCAGGGAGGAGAGGGGGCTTGGGACGGAGCCTGAGCCAGCACAAGGTCTCATGCTCTGTTAACACTGTCCTTGTGCATCCTTCTGTCTCTGACACTGGGGAAAGGATGCAGAGAGCTTGGCCTGCCCATGCTAGAGCTTCCAGAAGGGTTTTACTGAGTCAACTGAAGGTGGTAATCCAAAGAGAGAGTCAGGGCACACTGAGAGAGGACTGCAGAGGCCTCCAAAGTGAATGGAGACTTGAACCACTGCACAAGGAGCTTGATTCCTTTAAGCTAATACAATCCAGAAAGACTCAGCTGACTATTCCTTAGTGTCCTGTGTCAACAAGGCCTTATCAGATGGTGGATCCTAGAAGCACTTGGGACGACCATCTTCCATGTGGAGTAAGAAAGAGGCATCCCATTGCCTCCCCTTTAGTCCCCATCACACTTGATAGCAGAGATTGCTGCCATGTAGTGTAGTTGCCAGTGAATTCTAGCCATATGATGTGTTTCTTTGCTGTCACACCAAGACCAGCAGGGAAGAGTATTCCCTAATCCCTGACCATGATGTCACCTGACATTCCAAGACCACTGAGTGTCCTAAATAGGCAGGAAGGGACCAGGAGCTTTGTCAGCCCATTCCTCCCACCACAGTGAAGGCCTGGCTGCCAAAAGCCTGTCACAGCCAATGAGGAGAGGATGATGCTTACATAGCCCTCGAGAGCAGGAGAAGGGATTCTGTGGAATAGCATGGGGAATGGGAAATGTCCCACAGATTGGCTTTTGTTACACCCCTGGATTGGATGGGGGGTTGGATTTGGCAGGGGTTTGAGTGTGTACCTAGGGTTAGAAGACCTAAAGTCCCTTAAACCCCAGTTTGGGATTGGAAGGGTTAGGACTGACACTAAGAATTTCCTCAGTTTTAGGCTGATTTATAGAATTTAGGTCAAAATTCCCAACTACAAATGAATTTCTCCATTGCAGAATGAAGCCAGGGTGGGCTTTAACCACAGATTTGGGAATCACCTTGCTGTAGGTCAATAGGATGGGATGACCAAGCCGTGCAGGCCAGAACTAAGGTGCCATTAAAGACAAATGGTGGTGAAAACCTTTCTCTTGGTGGAAGTTAGAGAGGAAGATTTAGGTAGCCAGAGCGTGAAGGGAAGGGCAGGGAGGTTAATTCCCATTATCCAGGCCTTGTAGCATCTCCATGGCCTCCTCTGGCCTCTCTCCAGCAGGTCCAAGTTGTGCAAGAGCAGAGAGAACAGGAGACTCATCTTGAGTGCCAGGATCCAGCTCTCGACTACTCAGACCTCCCTCCTTCCCCATTACCCACCCAGCAGCACCACTGAAAGCATTCCTGCAAGGACCAGCACCATTTCCCATCCATTGCCTCACCTTGGAGGAATGCATTGCCTTCCCAAGCCTGCCCTTGAGGTGGAGCTTGTGTTGCAAACACCCCTCTCTTGCTCTGGGATGTGTTTGGCATGGCTCCTGCTCTCCTGCTGGGATAGTCCTTGCTTTTCCCATTCGGGATGTGCCGTGCCGAGGCTGGATTTATTATTGGTGACTGGCCTCTGCTGTTGCCTCGCTGATTCCTGCTCTGATCTCAGAGGATAACTCTCTCCTAGGCTCATCCCAGAGCATTCCTTCCTTATCTCCCACCACCATGAGTTATGCTTGCAAGAATCAGCCCTTATTTCTTAGCACAGCCCAGCCAAAAGCCATCTCCAAGGGTTTCCAGTTGCATGTGCAAAAAGCCCACCTCCCTTTTCTTGCTCCTGTTAGGAATAACCTCCCCCTTCAGCGACCAGGATGCTCCTTCAAGGGTGTTGGGCTTCCCAGAGGCTTGGAGATGGTGTCCCAAAGGGGTTAGTGTATTCAGCTCATGTTTTCCCTTAATGGAGAGCAGTGAAATAAACACCAGGTCCCTTTATCTCTCCTTTAAGCTGTAAACTGAGGCAGGAAAGCTCAAATCCTGGATGCTCTGCATGTTCCCTGCTCCAGATTCAATCCAGCCTGGAGAAACTGATAACCTGCTTCTACTCCTGGTGCTTCCAAAGTTAAAGGAGAGGATCGTGGAGCCTGCCTTCAGCCCCATAGCGAAGCATCCTCCTTATTCCTCAGTGCTGGGGTGAGATGTGAAACAGAACTAATGGCAAATCCAACTGGATGAGGGGAGTTTGGCTTCAGTTGAAAGTCAGGGGGAGCCTCTGGTGCACAGAGGTGAGGAATTACAAAGGCAATGGAAGGGGCTGCAATCAGCAGGGGAAGAATAGGAAAGAGCCGAGGGGAAATTAGGTAAATCATGGTATCAAACAGCCTGAGAGTGTCAGCAGCTCCCAGAGACCAAGCAATCACTAGATATAGAAACACCAACGTGTGGAGGTGGTTGCAGTGCAGTAAACACAACCTGAGGAAGCCCTGGTTGTAGCTACAAGCTGCTGGAACTCTGCTATGGGGGAGCTGAAGCTGTCGGGAGCACAAAATGAATCCTGGGGCACGGATGCAGCAGGACATCAATTCCCCTCCTCATTTGGTCCTTTACTAGTGTCGCCCCATTGGTATGGGGAAAGTTACTCTTGTGTAGCGCTGATAATTCCTGCTTATGGTCCTTGCTGCCTCCAAGTGCATTGGCTTGGGTGGGTTTCCATGGCCAAACTCCTGCTGCAGGTAATGGAGAGTTATCCTGGATGCATGGTGTGTGATAGAAGGGGGTTTCATCAGGGAACGTGGAGAGGAGATAACCGAGCGCAGAGATGGTGACTGCTTTAAGAAAGTGAGCAATTGTGAAGGGAAAGGAGTTAAAAAGAACCCAGTTATTTAAAGAACCCAGATTATTTGGCCTGTGCTTCCCAGACAAGACATTTTTGATTCCAGTGCAAAGGAATACAGGCAGGACATCAAGTTACAAGCCAGAAATATCATGTAACCGGTAATGGCCCTTTATTGACATAGGAAATAGGGTGGTTTTGATCAAATAAGAGCCCACACAAATGATTTTCTGTGCTTAGGATTCACAAGGAAACCCTTTGAGGAGGTTTCTGGAGGAATGTGCTTGCTTATTTTGTTCCTGTGTTCTTTCAGCTTGTTCAGTTATTAAAGAGAGGAGTCGATTGCAGGAGGAGCTTCAGCATCCCCTCATACCCTGAGGCTTGCCCTCAAGTCCATCAGGTAGGAGCCTGGCTGAGGTGTAAACGGTGGGAATTGCTTCTCCCTAGTGGGAAACACTTGGAATAAGGCTGAATGTCCCTTTCCCGGGTGCCAGGCTTCATCCTCTGGCTGCAGTGGTTGTCAGGGCAAACACAAGTGCCCTGTTTCACTGCTGGAGAGGTTTTGGGGTGCTATTGGTGATGTCTGTGTTTGCAGGGGCAGCAGAACTAACCAGCCACTGAAGCCAGCAGTCCCGGTGTTGTGGTCCATCTCCGTGCCAGTTTTCCTCACCCATTTGGAGATCCAATGATTCATGAAGACCTCAATTAATTTGGGAAAGGGAATAAAATAGCGTTAAACGTGATGAACCTCGCGCTGCTGCCAACCCCACAGTCATTTCCGGACTCTTCCAGCTGGATTTGTGGATGGAATCCTTGAACTTCTTTGCTGACTGGCATCATTACAAGGTCGGTTGTGTTCCACTTCCTTCATTTCCTTTGGTGGTGGTGGTTTGGGAGGATGTGAAGTCACGAATGTAGGGAGAAGGGGAACGGGTCCCACCTGATCCGTGCTCCCTGCTTTAGTTGGCTGTTGGGAGGAAGAAGTAAACTCCGAGTGCCTCCATCTCACAGTTTACAAACACAAATAAGCCCTGCACAGCAACTTAGGCCATGCTGAAAGGTTCAAATATACACAAGGAGAGTGTTTATTTGAGTGGGCTCTCGGTTCCTCTGTCATTGTAGGAGAGCCAAAAAGCTAATTCCCGACAAGTGGTGCTCTGGAAGCAGCAGGGAAGGGCCTGAAGTTATTCATGGATCTGGGTTTTGGTGTCTTGAGTCAGTTCTTGGACAAAAGGTTGTTTTGGCTTCAGCCAAACCAGCCCTTTCCTGAGCTCTTCATTTAGATGCTCTGATGCACAACTGTATCCCAAGCCAGGCTCAGGCTTTTCTGCTTGCCAGGGCTGTTTTCCTCTCCACAGAAGGGTCTGCACTGCAGGGTCCAAGCCATGGACGGGTTTCCCTGGGATTCTGTTGGGTTTGGAATGGTGTGTGGAGCAGTCTTGGATCTGCTGGAGACACTTTCTCCTTGCTTAAACCTCTGCTGCGTGTAAGTGCACAGGCCTTACGCATTAGGCTGAGCTTTCACAGATGGACTGGGAAGAGTCAGTGCTGAAGCTGAAGCCAGCACAAGTGGAGTTTGGGAATAGCTGGCTCAGCAGGGAGGAGGGGTATAAACGGCAGGAAAGGAGGCAGATGAGGTGGGACAGTGCATCAAATCAGGGGAATGGGAATTATCTGTTATTAGGATGCACTGGAAAGCATCTGGGTCTGAATGGCTTCATACAGGGAGTTTGTCACATAGAATCATGGAATCCCAGCCTGGTTTGTGTTGGAAGGGACCTTAAAGCTCATCCAGTTCCAACCCCTGCCACGAGCAGGGACCCCTTCCACTAGAGCAGCTTGCTCCAAGCCCTTGTGTCCAACCTGGCCTTGAACGCTGCCAGGGATGGGGCAGCCACAGCTTCTCTGGGCACCCTGCACAGATTGCCTATGGATGATGTATGTAATAGTTCCCACTCCACTTGCTCTCGGCTACCTCCAGCCTCTTGTACCTATTTTAAAGGGCATCCCACAGCTGTAGGCTGCCCATGGCCAGGAAATGACCAGAGCATTCCACTCCCTGCTACCTTCCTGACAAGCCCTGAGGCTTTTACTGCTTTCCTTAGCTTGGTTCTTCCCCCCTGGAAGCTTTTCATGTCACAGAGTGTCAGGATTTAAGGCCAGCTTCAAGAGGCACCTCTGCTTTTCTTCCTTCAGCCCCATGTTGGCCTAGGTGGGGAGAGAAGGGGACCAAGAAGACACTGAGAGACCTCTGGAGCAAAGTGATGTGGGCTGTAGATCTATAGATTAAAGCAAGGGTGAAGGCCAAGTGGTTGTGTCAGTCGCAAGAGCCAGGGCCAGGAGCTGGCCTTAGCAGCACAAGTCTTTCCATTGCTGGTGAGTCACTTGCTGACACTTTTTGGCTGCCCTCCTGGGCTGGAAGGGGCTGAGGGAGAGCCATAGATGTGGGTTGGAAGGGACCATAAAGCTCATCCTTAAAGCCACAGGCAGGGATACCTCCCACTAGAGCAGGTTGCTCCAAGCTGGTTCTTCTAGCCACGGATAGAATCCCATCTGAAAAGGTTAAATGCAGCTTGTGTGTGCAAAGTGGGTTTTAGTGCTTGGTGGTGGGATGCTTTGAGAGGGAACCTTCCATCTGCGGGTGCATCCTCCTTTCACACCTGCAGGGTTATTTGCTGTCACGCTTCTAAAATAAGCTTTAAATCTGCACTTCAGTTCAGGCTTTCCAGATTTGGGAGCTGTGACAGAGTCAGAACTCCTCCTCTCGGGTGCAAATACCAACTCTCAGCTTTCAACAACAGGTTTGGGTTTGCTGCAGGGAAGGCATTTCCCCTTTTGGAAACCTCTTTTCCACGTAGAGGAAACAGGGAGAAAAGCAGGAGGGAAAAAAACCAATTTGGTGCAATTCCCTTTCTATTCCCAAAGGGAGGAACACCACAGGCTTGTGAGCAAAGGGACAATTCCCCTTTGGTGTGACCCTGGTGCCCAAGCGAGCGGCAGTTCCTTGTCTCATCTCTGGTCATTCCTTGTGCTCCCCGTGAAGGCAACAGAAGCCTTGCCATTAATTCCCAAGGCTTTCAGATTGCTGTACTCATGGAAATTAACGTGAGCATTCCATATCCTGTTGAGTCTGCTTGGCTCTTCCCAGCAAACATGTCAGTTAACGAAGCCCTTTCATTTCAGATGCTGTTTAGATGATGCATAGAATGGCCCTGAGAGCGCAGGCATCCAGCTGGCAGGCTGCTTAGAGGAGGTGTAAAACATGTTAGGAAGAACAAGACCCTCCTTAGGTCTGGGCTCTGCAGTGGGGTGGAAGGGGCCATGCATTGCATGGGGGTTAAAACCAGCTCCAGGCATCATGGAGCTGTCAGGGATGGCAGAAACCTTGGACCTCTTCTGTCTCGGATTGTTGTGGAATCCCAGAGTGGTTTAGGTTGGAAGGAACCTTTAAACTCATCTAGCTCCATGCCTTCCACTAGAGCAGATGCTCCAAGCCCCTGGCCTTGAACACTGCCAGGGATAGGGCTTAACTTTGGCTCCTTGCACCACGAATAGGTTGGATCTATGGGATGTTAGTGGGTTTAATCTCTCAGTGCAGGATAACCCTGGGAAGGGATGATTCCCACTGCTTTGGCACCTCGTGCCTGAAGTGATAGGTGAGCCCTGGGGTCCTCTTTGCCCAACCCTATTGAAAAGAGCTTTTTTGGGATGTACGAGGTGGCTTAGATCAGCTTGCACCAAGGAGGAGATACAAGAGCAGGGCTCTTTACCATGCCCTGCTGCCTGTTGGATGACTTCTGGCTCCTTCCTCCCTCGGTCCCCTCCACTGCATCCATGTGCAGAGCACGGAGCCGTGTGGAGTGTCTTTGGGAAGGGGCCAGCTCCATGTGTATAAGATTTCCATTAACTCAGGGAGTGCAAAGCTTGGGCTCAGGGCCCAGGCCATGCTGGAGAAGGCAGCGTGGCTGCAGTCATGGTACTTGTGTAGCACCCAGGACCACAGTGAGACCCCAGCATGGGTTCTCACACCTGCTTTGATGGGTGATGCCTTTACATGATGTGACAGCTCCTGGGACAGCATCACCCATCGCTGAGCTCCTCCTGAGCTCCTGGGGGATGTGGGTTGTGCTAAGGATGCTCTGGGTGCTGCCAGCTTCCCAACACAGCCCTGCCAACACAAGGCACCTTCTGCCAGCCCCTGGCATCATCCCTCTCGGGGCTGGCAAGGCAGGGAAGTGACAGCACTTAGCCAAAGGAGCTGGAATTCCTTCTCCCAGGCATGTGCAGAGCACATCTGGTCAGCAGGGACGCATGGTTTTGGGACCCTTTTTTCCTACACTGTGAGGCTGTCCCAGCTGGAGCCAGAACTCCTTTCCCCTGGGGACGTGCTGTGCTGACACATCCGCTCTGGCCACAACACAGCAAATCCTGTTTTCCTCTCCTTTTTAATCCTGCTCCAAGGCAGACAGTGCTCACTGGTTCCCTTTTCCAAAGGGTTTGGCCACGTCAGGTCCTGTGGGGATGGTGCTGTCTTCTAAAGGGGCTGCAAGAAACCTGGAGAGAGGCTTTGGATAAGGGATGTAGGGACAGGACAATGGGAATGGCTTTAACCTGCCAGAGGGGAGACTGAGATGAGCTCTTAGGCAGAAGCTCTTCCCTGTGAGGGTGCTGAGGTGCTGGCACAGGGTGCCCAGAGAAGCTGTGGCTGCCCCATCCCTGGCAGTGCTCAAGGCCAGGTTGGACACAGGGGCTTGGAGCAACCTGGTCCAGTGGAAGGTGTCACCAGATAGCTTTAAGGTCCCTTCCAATCCCAGCCAGTCTGTGATCTATGATTCCCTCCTTCCCATGCACACCAGAAGCCTCAGAGAGGGATGCGAGTGGGATGGGTCCCATCTCCAGCTGAGATGCCACCCATTTAACCAATGAAGCATCCCTGCTTCCATGGAAAACCAATACTTCCCCCATGGGACTCCACCTCAGGATCAGTAGTGCCCACCAAGAGCTGCTCCTGGTGTGCAGACCTTGCCCTTTGTGCTGTGGCTTTATTTGGTCCCCCCTAGTGCTCAGACTGCAGGAACTCCATCCTGGATCCCAACAGAATCCCTTTGCTGTCACTTCCACTTACAGATCACAGCGCTGACGTTGCTGCAGTGCAGAACAACAGGGCTTTGGCCACAATGGAATTGGAGAACCTGTATCTGGAAGAGGGACCTTTCTCTGTCCAGCAGAACCCTCTGGACCCCTCCAGGAAGGGCAGGACAAGGCAGCACTGATGCTCCCCGCTGTGTCTTTGCAGCCTGGCTTGGGTTGGTTTTGCTCCTGCAGCACAAAAGGACATTCTTGTCCCAAAGCATTTTTCCCTGCATACTTGCAGCGTGAGCAAAGCAGGAGGGGAGGGGGGGGGGATTGAAAGGTTGGGGGGAATGAATCTCACACAGGGCTTAGTTTACAAGGGACAGCTGAGTGTATAAACCCCGTCTCCAAAGAGGGCTGTTAGGAGCTTTTCTGGCAGCGGTTCCCCTCCTACCCCAGCCTCTGGCTTAAGCTGCTTGGAGGGAGAAGAAAAAGGGGAAGGATGGGGGGAGCAGTTGTGACTGCTCCAAAACTCAGGGCTCAGAATGAAACCCCGTGGGGCTGAGCACATAAACAGGGGGCAAGTGGGCTGAGTGGCTCTGGGGATGTGGGCAGAGTGGGGAAGGTGAGGGTTGTGCCTTGTGCAGCTGAGACATCGTTGTGTGATGGGGTGAATGGGTCCAAAGAGAGACAAAGGCCCCCTCATAGAATCCCAGAGTGGTTTGGGGTTGGAAGGGACCTTAAAGCTCATCCTTAAAGCCATGGGCAAGGACATCTTCCACTGGAGCAGGTTGCTCCAAGCCCCATCCATCCTGGCCTTGAACACTGCCAGGGATGGGGCAGCCACAACTAACCCTGGGCTATGGGAAGCAAGAGGCCTGTTGTTTGTAAAGGGCTTTGTCCTTCATATTGATGCTATCTCTGCATCTCACCAAGTCGTCTCTTGGGATAAAAACTCATTTTGAAGCCCCATGTGTAATTAGGGAGCAATGCTGGGCAGCAAGGGGGATGCAGCAGGGTTTGGACCCTGCCCTGTCCATCTCCCATACCAAACATCCTTAAAACTGTTATTAATGCAATGAAAAATCTCCCTTTTCCGAGGTAATGTATTTCCATCCCATCCCAAACAGCCACTAATGCTGCTTCTAAATGTGCATTTCATTTCCATCTCACAGGTCTGTGTGCACTGCCTCAGCTGGGGCACAAGTGCTTATTAAAACCATACTTGCCGTGCATTAACAACCCCATACACATGTATCTCTCATTAAACACTATGGGCTGGAAGGAGGATTGGTGCCCCAGGCTCTCTCTGTGAGATCTCTCAGCACCACATGCAATAAATATGGTTTTAATAAGCAGTCATTAATAACTGGACAATAACAGCTTTATTAAGCTTGGGAACCTTAATCCAGGACTATATGGTGTAATGGAATATACTGGAATTCAGCTTCAGTTTTCTTTTAGGCTTCTTGCTATTGGGGGGGGGGGGAAGATGCATTCCCTGAAGGTCTGATCCTGCCCTGGGATCTGCATGGAGCTCTTTATAGGGCTGGAGCACTCGAGCATCCTTCAGAGGAGGGATGCAGTGGGAACACAGCCACTGTTTGACTGGGGGGGATACTTGATACTGGGTAAGGAAGGAAACTGCTGTGTTGTTGATCACTGCTTGCAATAGTGATTTGGGAGGAGGAGGAGGCTGCTTTGGCCCCGCTGGCTCTTCCTCTCCCCATCTCTAGCAACTGCAGCGTGTTGCAACGCGACGTTAGGTCCCGACCTCGCTGCGTCTCCATGGGTGGGCATTGCAGAACCGGCCCTTTGGTTCCTTGTGGGGGCTGCAGCTCCTTGAGCAGGCAGATAAAGGCCACAGCACTCAGGTTCTGCTGCCTCTGCTTAACCCCTGCCTACCAAACCGCAGGGCTCTTTGCAGCATCAGGCTGGGTCTGGGCTCTGCTACCTCTCGGTTGTCTTTACCTTCAGGAAGCAGGGAGTCTGGAACGCAAGCCAGGGAGCACACATCGCTCTGGGACCCGAGCAAGGAGGCAGGAGCCAAGGATGCCAAAAAGGAATCCCACTCTTCATTAGATGATGATAAAACCATGGTAAAATAGCAATAAGAGCCTGGCACAACTATCCAAAGTACATTAAGCACAGAGGTTTGGCTGGAAAAATCCCAGGACAGCCTACAGCGCAATCCTAAGCTGTTGGAAAGCTATTGTAGCCTATCCCACCACTGGTTTACCACCCCTGCCTGCCTTACCATCCCTGACTGCCGAGCTCTGCGTTTTGCTTTCTTCGATGGGTTA